ATAATAATAATAATAATAATAATAATAATAATAATAATAATAATAATAATTTGTAAATATAATAATAATAAATGCGGGATACAAATGAAACTTACCTCCATGTATTCGTTCAGCTTCAAAATGTTCATCAGCATGCCACTGATGGGGTCAATCTGCAGGGGAAAACGGTCTTTTAACAGAAAGAAAAAGGGGAAACCAAAATGCCACAACCCCCAACCCCAAAGTAACTGGAAAGGGAGCGTCTCTCAGAGGCCGTTGAGCCACCCCGCTTAGCCACGCAGCTGGCTGTGTGCCTTCTCCCCAACTCTCTTCCATTTTTATTCCCACTTCTCCTTGTTTATCTTCCAGTTGGAGCATTTAAAGTCCTCATTATGTGTGGGGAGAGAAGTTCGTTTCTCCCACTTTGGCTGGCTTTTTTTTAAAATTTCCCCTAATGGAAAAAAGTAGACTTGCAAAGAACTTGATGATGATGCCACCCTAGGGAGCATCAAAAAGAGAGGGCATGGCAGAACCACCATAGTTGCCGCCACGTACCACTAGATGCCAGTTCTTAGTGGGGGGAAAAGAAATGCAAATTTCCTCGGTGCCCGGCGTAGGTGGGGGAAAGAGATCCAGTGGCGAAAAGGCTGCGGCTGGAAAATCGAATGAAGCGGCCCAAGGATGCCAACAAAGGGGCTGAACCAAAGGATGCTGGAGCCAATCCAATGAGAGATGGAGTCTTGCCCCACCCTTCAGCCTCCCAAAAGGTGGAGAAATAGAAAACCTCTACTCACCTTTCCACGTATAGTGACCGTCACTGTGTGGCAGAGAAAGGAAGAGAAAAGAAAATACGCGTCAGTTGTTAGCTGCAATCCTCCTTTTGCACCTCAAGGTGGAAGCAGAACGTCGAAGAAGCCAGGCGGTGGCAAGAGATGGAATAGAGGAATTGCCGCGTTCCCAAGCCAGACCTGTCTCCCTCCCCTCCCCCCCCCCCCCCCCCCCCCCCAGGGAAAGGGTTCAGGGATTCCATCCCCCCCCCAAAAGGCCAAGCTGTCCTCTGCTCCGGTCCTCAACCGTGTCCAGCACCTTGATAGTTGTGTCCGTGGGTGTGATTGCATTTCCCAAAGGTGATCAGGTTTTCATCTTGGCTCAAATGCTTGCTGAAAGACAGTAAGGAGGAGGAGAGGAGGAGAAAGAATAAACGGAGGAAGAGAAGCCAAGCCGCGTTTCAGTAGAAAGAGGGAAGCCAAAGATGCTTTTTTTTTTTTATTTCTACAAGAGGCAACTTGGACTCCCTGGTTCGTCTTTGAAGACGTTTCGCTTCTCATCCAAGAAGCTTCTTCAGCTCTGGCTGGATGGTGGAGAAGGATTTATACTTGCAGACAGCTGGTCGTTTGCATTCTTTTTAGAGAGT